GTTTTGATGAAAAAGTGCTTCCGGTGAGCTCACCGGAAGCACTTTTTCATCAAAACAAGATGGCGGCGCCCAGCTGATGTCGGTACCGGGCCACACCATAAAAAAGGTTGGGGATACCGGGCCGCGGCATAAAAAAGATTGGGGATCACTGGTTTAGAGTATTAAAGTATTTAGGCTGTATTGTTACAGACAAGTAATAGAGGACAAGTCTTATTTAACTCTGAGCCTCTTTGTTCAACACAATTATTTTTTACATTCTGTTACTTTGATTGCAATCACATTCTGGTAACTCTTACTTGCCTTGAACTGTGAGATGGGCGACATATAAATTTAATAAATAAATAAAATAAACTTTTTACTTCCACGGAACCATTTTATGTTCCTCTTACAAAACCCTCAGTTTGACTATCAGTTTTACTCATATAGTGTCATTTTTTTTAAAGTGTGGTTACAAACCCGCCTTTATTTCAAGCAAAGACCTTACTTCCAATATCTTACAAAGCTAAATAAAATATTAAAAATATTTTCAAAACTTTGACCATCAAAATAATCACACCAATTAAAACAGAATGTTATTTTTATTATATATGAGGCCAAATTTCTTTCTGTAATACATTATATCTCAATAAGTTGGGATAGGCTAGGGTGTTTCCTTATCTTTGAATAAAGCATGGCTCTTTGCAATGCACCTGGAAAGCTGAGTGTCTTAAGTGTCCTCAGATAACCTTCCTTCTCTTTGCATTTGAGAAATGTATTTGAGTTTACAAAAGCAAAAAAAAAAAAAAAGCAATATGATTTAGTTTTCAGAACCCAAAACATTATCAAATTCCAAAATACAAGCTCCATGGTTTGCCCAGAATATGAGATTAGCTCAATGGGACTCCAGCCTTGTAGTTTTCCCATTGAACAGGATTGAATAGGTAAATGGAAAAAAAAAATCGAATTAATTTGAGACTCAATGCAATTTTGAAACAAGTGCCTTGTTTTCTATCATCATGTGCATCACATAACTAAAGTTCACTTTCAAAACACTTTCATTTTATCTAATCAAAATAGAAGCTTCACAGCCTCTTGTGTATTCATAGAATAAAAACCTTGTTAACTGTTTTAAATTGTGCTCTTTACTCACGTTAATAGGATCTAGAATCTTCACTGCTGCCAAACTGCCATCCTTCTTATTAGTAACCTTATAGACTTTACCATATGTTCCTTTTCCAATAGTCTCAATAATTTCCCAGGTATCTGTCGGATCAGGTAACGATTCCAGTCCAATCATATTCTGATTATACTGAAGCACGCCATAGAGAGGTTTCCTGGGAGAAACAGGATAAGAAAACTGTTGGATAGGTATCATAGTTTTAGAGAATCAGATGATTCAGAGACTCACACGGCCAACTTTAGAAAGCAATATTTTGGTGGCTATGATGGAGGCTTTCATAAAAGAATATTATGTGACTGTTTTGCCAAATATGGGGGCAAATTGTAATGACATACACAGGAACAGTCATGCAATTTCCTGCAACCATTAATAGCAATAGCACTTAGATTTATATACTGATTTATAGCCCTCTCTAAGCCAGAAAATAAGAATTTGCACACATACTATATTCACAAAGAATCATTCTCCTTAGGTAGTAGTTGGTTCCCCACATTCATATAGATAGGTCATTCTATCTATATTCCCTCTAGTAATAGCAATAGCACTTATATTATATACCGCTCCACAAGGCTTCACAGCCCTCTCTAAGCGGTTTACAGAGTCAGCATATTGCCCCCAACAATTTGGGTCCTCATTTTACCCACCTCAGAAGGACGGAAGGCTGAGTCAACCTTGAGCCTGGTGAGATTCGAACTGCCAAATTGCAGGCAGCTGGCAATCAGCAGAAGTAGCCTGCAGTACTGCATTCTAACCACTGTGTCACTGTGGCTCAATAAAATTTGGAAAACACATTAAGTTTTTGCTCATGGTGGCTTAGTCAAGGTGGGTTTTCATATAATACTTCTTCAGAAGATGGAGGAGATGCAGACTACATACCAAGCTAACTGAGTTTTGGAACATTTTGCCCAATATGGCACATCTGTAGCCAAAGCTCAGATTTTTCCCAAGTACATTCATACAGTTTTCTACAAATGTGGATCTTCAAACTAGAGCCTAGCCTGCAAACCAAAATATACTGATAGCATCCCATCAATGAGATATTATATGCAGTATACAGGACAACTTCAATATGTTCAACAGTTTGACTCCTCCCCTCCACCCCCTTAAAATAGCTTGCCCAGATCTACAGCTTCCAGATACACAGGATAGAACAGATAATTTCTATGGAAGATTTCTGATTTTCCCCTGAAAAATGATGCTGAGAAAAAGACAAACTCTTTCTTTATACTCTAAAAACGTCCAGCTGCCCATAGAAGTTGACCTAAATCAACCATGATGTTCTTTAAAGGTTGAAAAGAATGCCAGAACCCATTTTATCTTCAGTTACAGAGAAATTTAATCCCTTTCTTAAGAAAGATGAGGCTGTAGATATCATTTGTTATTGCACAGATGCCCTCTCTTTGCTCCAAGCATGCTATGCAGAAAGAGAGCTAGTCAATCTCACATTCTTAATATTCCTAAGGATTAACCTGACAGTAGAGGTACATCTGTCAAATGAACAACCCATCCATAAAACAAAAAGAGGATGGAAAATTTTTACATTATCGCTCTGATGAAGGGTGCATCTGACAATATTCAGTCCCAATTTTTGAAAACAGATTTATTTGCTAGATGGCATCCTACCAATCTCGTTTATCTATTCCAGATTAAAGCAAAGAGAAAACAGAGATGCATTTGAAAACATTCATCACAAGGACTGCTTCCTAAAGTAACACTCATCCATTTTAGAAAAATGTATATTGGTAACATTTATGGCTTATGGCACGAGACATTTCAGTTGAAATGACATTATGATCATCTACGGTAACTATTTTTCCTAATCTTCTTATGTCAAAGATATACTATGAATTTTTATAACTTTGTCATTAGTAATAAGGGCTAAGAAAAACAAGACTCAAAATAAAAAATATAAACCAACTTAGCGGTGTAAAAAATGAATAAATGTTAATAATAACAACAAATAAAAACTCCAGCAAACTTCAATATCTGATGCACTGATTATGTTACCTAGTTTGGGTAATGAAACATCTATAAGAAAACAATCAAGCTCAGAGAGCATCAAGGACTCTCACATCAATATCTACCTACTCTAGATCCTCTGGATAAAATGCCAAACCCAATGTAAACATCTGGCTGACTGTTCAATGAACCAAAATAATAATGTAATAGCCATAAGAATTTCAAAGGATGGAGATCAGAAATGTCCACGGGGATTATTCCTCCAAGACCCACATAGGAAGAAAGACCAAAAGGTGTGGTTCAGAATCCAAGGTGTGGTTCAGAATTTGAAATGATCAGGTTGCTCAATATTTTTCATTCATGGTTGTAAAATCAATCACTTAATAATTCAGATCTTTTTTTTTTCTTTTTTTTTCGTATTTTGAGTTTTTTCCCAAAGCACGGGCATTTTATTAGACAACAGATAAAAGAAAATAAAGAAAAAATTACATCAACATAAGAAGCATTGAGGAGAAAAACAGGAGGCCATAATGAACATTGTGCCCCTGAGCCTCTCAGTATCTGAAATGGACTGATAGTAGTAGTTGCTTCATTTAAAGTGTATTTTCCTCCCAGGAGTTCAAAATGATGTTAATGGCTCTCTTCTGTTCCCATTTGATCCTCACAATAATCCTGCAAATTCACTTAAGCAGAAAGATAGTAAGTGGAAATGAGCCATAAAAATTGACAACATACATAGGCCAAACCTAGGTCTTCTCAATCTTAAACTTGGATCATCTGGATACCAAGGATGGATGAGTTCAAGCTGAGAGCTCATTTCTACTTACAAATCTGTACCGGTGGCACACACTTGCAATTTTTGACACTCTTTCTAACACATTCTGTTCTTCTCAAAATCATTTTATTCCTCGGGCTTTGCAGCTTCATTTTCTTTCATTGTGTTTGACACAACTGACAGGCATGAGGAATGAGATTACACTGAGAAGCATCACAGATGCCACTAACAAGTGCCAATGACACACCTGAGTTTCCACAGCCAAACAACTTAAAAAGCTGCATACCCATAAGACTGAAGAGGACAAGGAGAAAGCGGGGGGGGGTGGGTCGCAAAGGAGAATGACAGAAGAAGAAGACCAAAGATAAGAATGTAGCAGATGTGAGGAAAATAAAAAGGCACCAGAGTACAAAAACACAGTATTCATGTGTAGTGATCTTTTAACTAATTGGTTTAATTAATTAATAAATATACTAGTGTTGATAATAACCAGCAATAATATAGCATCAGAGGATAACAGGTTTGGCTCTGTTCATTATAACAATAGCTCCTTAAGCTGGGATGACCTATCAAAAATCACTTCCAGGATCACAATGCCAGAGAGAAAATAAGTAAATCAAACCATCAGGGCAGAATTACATTAGCAGTGAGTTTACAAGGGAAGATCTCCAGCTTTCATGTCTCCTGCACTGCCCATTTCCCTTGTTTGTGTGATACAGAAGAGAATAAATGCCTTACATCAGGGGTATCAAACTTGTGGTTGGTGGGCCGGATGTGTCACGTATTGGCCACACCCATACCCAGTTTAGCAAAGGGTGATACATCACGTGACGCTACTGTGACGATGTGAGTTTGACACCCCTGTCTTACACCACTAAGTAAGGGTCATGGAACTAGACTATGCCTTCTGATAGGCCACGATCTTTCAGCACTAGCTTTATAAAATGGTAGATATTTTTATTATCAGCCTTCTAGCAGAGAAGCATTAACAAGTAACATAAGCCTTCTGGACAGAGACTGCCACAATCCTGAAATTAGTTTGGAGCTTAGTTCATGATTGAGGTTTTACTGGGGAATCTTGATGTAAAATGCTAAGCATTTTATTTTATTTTAGAATCTAAAATAGCCAGAGCTGATAGTCCCAGCATTTTCAAATGATACTCTGGTGTGCTGAAGCAGAAATTATCTTTTAAGTGGTCCATATGTATAATACACAGTGATACTGAGAACATATGCGGTGCAAATTAGCTCTGGTCTGTCTTCTGTCATGAGACCAGAAATTACCCGATGCCTTGATGCAATAGTTAATTGCAGACATGTCTTACAACAGAATAAAATAGCTGAATAATAATGTTTGAGTAGCATGCAGTATATATATGTGCATTTCTGTGTGTTTACATGCATGTTATGTGTTAGATCTGGAGGAGTGGGTGCAATAACGGAGACGAGGCATCTATAGTGACTCAACTCAAGGCTTCTATCTGTTTATCGATACCTGGCCACCACGCGTAACTTCTTGCCAATGCCTTCATTCGCACGATGCCTGGATGACCATCGTGCAACAGTTTTAGAACTGTATGTTGTAATTTTTCTGGAATGACGACTCTGTCTCCCCACAAGATGCAGCCCTTCTGGGAAAACAGTTCTGTCTGTCGGTGTTTGAAAGGCGCGAAGGTGTCGTTGGGTTCGTTGTCAGGCCAACCTCGTTCCACCCAGCTGAGGACTCGAGCGAATACAGGATCCTTTTTTGTTTCCGCGGCGATGTCTCATGCAGCCAGGGGTGGTGCAGGGAGAGTTTCAATTTGGAGTGCAGTTAAAGTTGGAGCTGGATCATCTATGGCTTCTGGTAGCGGAGAACGACTCAAGGCGTCAGCGTGGGGAATGGCTTTCCCCGGGCGGTGTTGCAGTTGATAATCGTATGTGGCTAGAAACTCTGACCAACGGGTCATTCTGGGTGATAAGATGTGGGGAGTTGGTTTGTCTCCCGCTAAAATGCCAAGCAATGGCTTGTGATCGGTTATTATGGTAAACGGTCTGCCATATATATATTCATGGAAACGTTTAATAGCGGATACAATAGCAAGAGCCTCTTTATCGAGTTGGCTGTAGTTTCTTTCAGTCTTCGATAAAGTTCGTGAAAAGAAAGCAATAGGTGCTTCATTTCCGTTTGGTAGGACATGACTTAAGATGGCTCCTACCCCAAACGGTGAAGCGTCGCAGGTGACCATTAAAGGCAAAGTCTCATTATACTGCATTAATACAGCATCTGAGGTTAAGAGATCTTTTACTTGCTGGAATGCTCGTTCTTCCCGATGTCCCCAGACCCAGGAAGCCTTCTTGTCGAGTAGTCTATGTAGGGGCTCAGCTACAGTCGCCTAGCTTCTTGGTGAACACGTCCTGGAATTCCTGGACGAGGGCCGCTTCCCAATCGCTGTTCCTGGTCTGGTGAATGCCAGCTAGT